TATCTACGATTAAAATTTAAATAAGATGTAAAATGGTAGATAGCTTTAATTCAAGATTAATATGATCAAAATCAATATACATGTAACTTCGTATGATCTCCAATTTACACCTATAATGCTCGATATATGTATTAGTATTTCTCAAAAAATTTGTGTATCGAGTTTATCTTTACAGTAAAGAAACTTTAACTTCGGTGAACACCTTATGATGCCTTGCTCTTGACGGAAAGTCGAGTTGCTAAGGAATATGCGTGCGGAAAATTATGTACGATCACGTAAACCATTCCTAGGTAGATAATGATGGCGATTGTGAGAAAAAGATCAAATACAGCTGGTTTTACACTGAAAAATAAATGTATACAGATAATAAATTATGTTGTTTAGAAATGGTAAATATAATCAAATTTACCTGTACACATTCAGTGTAGCCTTGGTAACATCGTAAAATACAAATTCTGGATCCTGTTTATCAGGAGTATGCAAGGTAACTTTAACATCCCCAAGATATCTGGCCATTGCTTCTTTTAACGTAGTAATTAACATATTATTTTTGTCTGCCAATAAGGGAGCAGCTCTAGGCTGCGACGCTAAATAACCAAACCATAACGATAATGATTCTTTCGATACCTCCTGCAACAATTAATAATTCATGAAACGTTAAACCTCTCTTTATTTTTTCGTTTCATGTAAAGAAAAATTAATATACCAATGGATCGGTAAAAATCTGACTAGAGCTTAAGTTATATATATGCCTTGCTAATGCTTCAGCTACTACTTGGGTGTGCTTATGCAGCCTATCTATTTGCCCTGCTTTTATTAAGTCTAAGATTGTTGTCCTAATTGGATCTTCATGGCTCTTGAGCGTGGACAGAGTTGTAGCTGGTAACCTTCTCATACTGTATCTTTCATGCTCCCAAGCCAGTGTTTTATCAGCCAGATTTATTTTTTTGTGTACACCTTCCACAGTAGTTTTATTGAACGTTTCGGAGACAGTCTTTAATTCTTTATAGAAGTGACCGCCGGTAGAATTTTCTTTCGGTGGTTTCGACACATGTACATATAGATTTTCGTCCGTGGATACTGTGTCGAAGCAAACAACGTATGCTGCATCCTAAAGTAAATAGATACAACAAATTATGCTACTTTTGTGCGTTATAACAATGAATTCTTCTAAAATGTATATTACTTGTATTACTGAGCCTTCAAGGCCATCCAACTGATCCTCCAACCATTTTTTACTACCTTGATAATTAAGTTTGCCAGCACCAGTTACAATAAAGACAAGGTTGTACTGTGGCCTTGATCTGCTGGTAGAATACAAGATAGAGAACAATCTTGCTATTTCTAATAACATAGCTACTCCTGATGCATTGCTGTCTGCTCCGAAAGACAATTCCTGTTTATTAGAAACATATGTTTTAATTTCCATCATCTTTATCTTGTTTAATCTTATGGTAAGAACACACTTACAGGTGCAACTCCTGTACTATCATAATGTGTCACCAAAGCTATTGTTGGCAATTTCTCATCTTCTCTGGTACCAGCCAGTTTACCATGTAATGTAGCCACTTTAACATCTGTTTTAATAAGTGCTTGACCAGATGGCACAACTACTTGATAACCACTGGCAGATATAGAGTTAAACATTGCCTCTGCAGCAGAACCAGCTTTCTCATCAGTAATAAATCCATGAGAGAGGTCATTTAGAATTGTCTGCAGACTTGGGTGCCATTTAGCAAAGTAAACTGGTATCATTGTTTCTGGTCCAAATATCATAGACTCTTCAAGGATCATAATATGCTGGAATGAGCAATAACAGTTGGTTTACTTGGGAACAATGAACTGCAATATATTTGCTACCAATAGAATTGAGTGAAACATTATTACTAGCCCAGCAAAAGTAATAGAGCTCCTATTAAATAGCTGAGATTGTCCACGATAGTAAACATGTTAACCCACACCACATACCATCATCAAGGAGTATTAAGAACTAAGCAGCTCCGCACTTGAAGGGTTAAAATTAAGTAAAGCAATAACCTGTCTCTCCTCTGATGTCAGGTCATTGATCCTTTCTGGTAAAACGACTATGAGAGCACCGGCCTTATTTTTAATGGTATGGAACAGGGTTGGCGTGAGATCCAAGGCTCGCGCAACTACACAGTGCCTGGAAGTGCTCCATCCAGTAAGAGACCTCGCCTCTAATGAAATTGGAGCGTTGCGGCAACCTGAATTCGAAGTTTCATTTTATTCCGAACTTAGTGTTCATACAAGTCAAAAAAAACGTAGAAATTACGTTACCGTGAGGTTCACCGTGCAAGTCATACTGGTGCATCCGATACACGGGAAACTCATGCGATGCCGTAACTGGGTTGACCGGGGAGATAATAATAAAGATCGGTAAAATGATAAGTAAATAATATGGTAGATATCCCCGACATAATTCCGCAAAGCTGTCACATTCTTCCAGCCACATCCTTTCAGGTTTCACTCAGTTGCTGAGTGTCTGATTATTTTCATCGACCTATTCGTCTATTACCACGCGACCATACGCGATCAGCTACTTGCAGTTACTCGCTACCAGAGGGCTACGCTACAACTCTATACTAGAGGCCAAGGGCCATCAACTCTATAGGGAAAAGTGGGAGCACTCTTTCGACTGCCATCTGAGCTAGCTGCAGACTTGGGCGAACTAAAATTGAATATGGCGGTTTAGAAGTGGTAATTCAAATTCTTGATTCTAGAACCAGAATGTATTACATTTGTTTCGAAAATAGTTATGTACCCCATCATACAAACTAAAAGAAGCAACATAATGGTACATATAACCTAATTTCGAAATAATGTACTTAATATACTGTAACACAGGGGAATGGAAAATAATCAAAGTCAAAAACTAATATGGGAAAAAAATTTTTTATTTTCTATTTTATAGTCGTATACAGCAAAAAATTCATTTCTAATGAAGTATATACGTACACTTGTTTATCAAATTGATTGATTCGCTCCAATGTCTTTGCTACTTCTGGCTGCGATGTCCTCGCTGCTTCTGGCTTTGATGTCTTCGCTGCTATGTTATCGATGATAGACTGGATTAATCTAAAAGAATGTAAAACAGAGATATATGTACTTTAAATACTATTGCAAAGATATGATTATGGGAAATAAAAATAAGTGGTCAGCTTGGCTTCGCTCAGAATGGCGAGAATGGCGTTGCACCGACACATGGTCTACCACAGTCCACCAAATGCGCATGCGGATTGAATTTTAGTTCGTCCAAGTCTGCAGCTAGCTCAGATGGCAAACAAAAAAGCGCTTCCACTTTTTCCTGTAGAGTTGACGGCCTCTGGTCGACTTCATAGACCTAAGTGTAAATAGATATATCTTCAGTTTAGTAAATAGTATTAAGGTAAGTAAGGATACCAAAGAACTAGTAAATAAGGATAAACTGTGATAACTAATTCATACAGTGATGACATTTTTTACTGACTATTTTTTATACCACCATACAAGTACTTATTAGTGCAATACTAACTAGTTTCCATTGAAGCTAAGTATAAACCTGATATCCAAATATTAAATTATAACTATTCTCTTTTAGACATACATATTAAGTAGTTTAAAGTGCCTCTAGGTTAAGGACATAAGTTAAACATTTATATAAAAAAAGATATCTATTGTTGAATTGTTTTTATTATGTTATTTCTCGCCGCAATAAAATCAAAGATCTGTAATAAGAATCAAGAAATAAATATTTTTAAAAAAACTTTATGGACCTAAGACCATAGATCATATACATTAATGAGACCTACTCCTGCATGCATTTCTTACTCCCTAAGCTGGCGCGCACATCGCCACCACTTTACTGCACATTCAACCTACAGTGGATCCTGTCTCAGCAATGGATTGTTAGCCAGAATCGCCACGATGACACACCTATAAGGAGTATACATAACGGATGAACTTTTTAGTTTGGATCAAATATAAGGAGCCTAACCATGTTAGTTAATAAGTAATTTCCCTCATAGAATTAGGTTTGGGTTAGGTGGTGGGGAGAGTTAGTAATTAAAGAGTCAGACCCTCCCTCTTCCCACCTAACTTCCAGTATTCTGACCGATTTATGACTTTCTCCCAGAAAAGTAAGAGTGGGAGAATATCACCCACATTATAAATGGGATTGCATGATGCCAATGGATTTCCATTAGAGAAATCCATTTCAAGCAGAATCCCTGACATCATTGGATACACTAGACATCAATAGACACACAAGCCTTGAAGCTAAAATAATTGTATCTCCTCTTCCCAAATTATCTTTCCATTTTTGTTTACAAGCGGAAGGATAATTAGGTAGAATTTACTGTAATTACAATTTACTAAAGCTGAGCCTGAATGAAAAAGAAAACAGTTGTTCAGAATATCATGGATATCAGATCCATGGTACATGTGTACGTATAAGATCAGGGCTCAGAATTAACTTACTCGCAACAGAGACTGAGCATTTTCGGAGACTTCTCTAAAATGTGCTGCACAATGGTGGAGAAAAAATCTCACAAATGGCATTGAATGATGCCACTTTGAAGCACATTTCAAAGCAGTCTCCGAAAATGTCCCGTCTCAGTCATGTGCAATTAATTCCGAACCCTGGTTTATACAAATGCGATGAACAGACCAGGACGTATTTTCTGGATTGCTGAGGTGTGTTAAAGGCGCTAAAGAAAATAAAACTGCATAGGTTTTACATCTTATATTTGTAAGAATACAAATTACTTAAGTGGAATAAATCGTGAGGAATGAGTAGCACCGATACCTGGTCTACCATGTTTTACAGGTTTGTAGGTAACCGAAAACTCTCCTAAGTAATGGCCAATCATTTCTGGTTTGATTTCCACCTGATTGAATGTTTTGCCATTATATACACCAACAATAGATCCAACCATTTCTGGTACAATAATCATATTACGCAGATGAGTCTTGACAATCTCTGGTTTTTCATTTGGCGGTGTTTCCTTCTTTGCCTTACGTCTGTCTCTTATACACATCTAGATGTGTATAAGAGACAGACGTAAGGCAAAGAAGGAAACACCGCCAAATGAAAAACCAGAGATTGTCAAGACTCATCTGCGTAATATCTGTCTCTTATACACATCTAGATGTGTATAAGAGACAGACGTAAGGCAAAGAAGGAAACACCGCCAAATGAAAAACCAGAGATTGTCAAGACTCATCTGCGTAATATCTGTCTCTTATACACATCTAGATGTGTATAAGAGACAGACGTAAGGCAAAGAAGGAAACACCGCCAAATGAAAAACCAGAGATTGTCAAGACTCATCTGCGTAATATCTGTCTCTTATACACATCTAGATGTGTATAAGAGACAGACGTAAGGCAAAGAAGGAAACACCGCCAAATGAAAAACCAGAGATTGTCAAGACTCATCTGCGTAATATCTGTCTCTTATACACATCTAGATGTGTATAAGAGACAGACGTAAGGCAAAGAAGGAAACACCGCCAAATGAAAAACCAGAGATTGTCAAGACTCATCTGCGTAATATCTGTCTCTTATACACATCTAGATGTGTATAAGAGACAGACGTAAGGCAAAGAAGGAAACACCGCCAAATGAAAAACCAGAGATTGTCAAGACTCATCTGCGTAATATCTGTCTCTTATACACATCTAGATGTGTATAAGAGACAGACGTAAGGCAAAGAAGGAAACACCGCCAAATGAAAAACCAGAGATTGTCAAGACTCATCTGCGTAATATCTGTCTCTTATACACATCTAGATGTGTATAAGAGACAGACGTAAGGCAAAGAAGGAAACACCGCCAAATGAAAAACCAGAGATTGTCAAGACTCATCTGCGTAATATCTGTCTCTTATACACATCTAGATGTGTATAAGAGACAGGATGAGTCTTGACAATCTCTGGTTTTTCATTTGGCGGTGTTTCCTTCTTTGCCTTACGTAGCTTCTTCACAAGAGCCATAGACTTACGCTTCATACCATGGGCAAATCGTCTTCGAGCACGAGCATGCATCAAAACCGAAAGTTGCTCACTGTAAATAAGTATCTGTGTTTACAGCATGAACGATAAATATGTTTAACAGCTATTGCTTGACTGATCATTTATGTTGATCCTAATTTATATGAAACATAGTACTTACTTTGGCATATCCAGAAGTTGATCAAGGTCAACTCCCCGAAAGGTGAACTTTCGGAAAGTCCTCTTCTTCTTTTGAGTTTCTTCTTGCTGGAATTCATATTATAATAAAATGAGAAAGAGGTTATGTACAAGTACGAAAATAAAGTTTTATCTTAAACAATAATACTGCTTTCCTTAGTAAGAGGAAGAACATATGGATCGTATTAATATGATTACTTGTAATTTTTATAACAAATGAGAATGATTCCATTCGATATTTTTAACGCATCTATAACACGTACCTCGGCCATGTTTTCGGTTGTTGGGATAAACGACAATAAGGTTCGTTCTTGTTCTTTTCTTGAGGAAATTGACTCTGGCATTAACTATGTAAAAATCACTAGATGTAACATCGAACTGCACATAGAATCTCAACTCCTGCAAACCTTGCCGGCCGCGCCTCACTCCATCAGCGATAATAGAAGTGGAATTTGATTTACTCTGATTGGTTGACGATGCAATACTAAAACAGGATTCACTATGCATTGGATTCGTAATAAAATGGTGGAGATACAAACGCTTCTTTAGAGAGGATGAAAAATGTACAGGAGTTGAGGTACAATGACTTGGTAACAGTGTTGGCAACACTGACATTGAAAATTACCATTGGAATTGTTGCGTGGCCACGCGACATAGATATAATTTGCGATGGCGCTACCGTACTATAATCTCTGACAAATGGCGATACGGGGGAATTTGAATATAAAATATAACGTTATGATCATAATTGTCTATTTATATATAAGCTATATTTTATAGCTTATGTATATAGTATAGTATAGAGATGAGATATAGTATAGAGAGAGTTGCCATGAAATTCCTCGATAAGATTTTAGTTAATTAAGTTTGATTAGTTGAGGAATGCAGGAGAAATCGCGTGGTCTTTTGAAAGATCTTCTCCAATTTCATGTAGACAAAATCGAAGCTCTGAATCCTTCAGGATAGGAAGTTAAGGACCTACCACCTTCATTTTAGCGGGCTTTTCCCTTGTGCGCCGATCAAATCCCACGCATTCTCACTCTCGTGCGCGCGCTGTCGAGGCCCCATCACTGCCAATCATCATAGAGTTACGACCGAAAGACGGCCATCGAACGAATCAGCATCCAGCTGAAAGATCCCAATCTTCCTATTGTGGCAGAGTTGGAAGGACGGGAAAGGAAGCTGGAAGAAGATTCAAAACTCCACAAAAAACGGAAGACTTTATTCTGAGACCGTTAATTTGTTATCACACTTATCCTTCGCAAGCAGAGCGCTTTAGCGCTCCACGAGCACCCGTACCTACAAAAATCCCCTAATTCCACCGAACAAAAAGTTTGTTACAAACAGTAATAGAAATATGGTCGATAACAGAAACTTCTACAAATTTAAACAAAAATATATTTTCTCCAAAATAGTGTACGAATTTTCAATAATTTTGAAAAATAAAAAAATGGCGGCTTTCTAAAGACAACATCTGGTTTCACTGAAAAAAATCAACTTTGTAGCGCGCGCTGCTCATACTAACAATAAGCGACCAGAATAATATATATAGAAAAAATTATGTATAGACATGCGTTCTATGCACATTTATTATGTACAAAGTTTTAAGTCTAATCATCTAATTTGAACAAAGCTAAAAAACGTAAAGGAGAATATACTTGTTAAATATTAAATGATTCATTACTATTCTGAAAAATCACATTTTCTATATTATTTATTTACAATAAGCAATTTACGAAAATCAAAAACTAAATTATGTAAAAATAAATAAAACTCTAATACTCTTTTATCAATATCAATTAAAGAAGCGACTTGTAAAAATAAAGGGTTTAATCATTAATAATTTCCATACTTTGATACTTTATGTTTACTAACTGTTTTAATTAAATATAGGATATTGTTTCCATGTAGTTTTTATTTATACTGAGTGGCTACACCATCTTAAATTGAGAAAAGGAAAAATGACTGATGGAAATTGATAGAAATAAGACTATCCTTAATTTATTTGATATTAATTACTTTACAAACAGGAAATTAAAAGTTCAAGATCCTGTTTTGATGTAAACAATATCACTAAAAGATGAGGCATACGTTATGTAATGCCTTGGTTCATTATATATTTCCTGGAAACGTTCCCTGCTCAATCTGCTCATCCCACTTTTCTACCCAATCATTAGGGCACATAGCACTATAAACTTTCTTGAAATATTTACAAGCTTCATACTCCTCGCTGTGACGTTTTTTACAGCGATGAAAGTCCAAATAGCTACTGTAACAATATCTGTATCCAAAACAATATGAATAGGTGAGTTTCAGATGAATGCAAATTATTACTATAAAACGAAACATTAGTTTATTTTATTATTTACCTTGTTTGGTTTTGATTTGGGAATCTTGGGTCAAATGGTGCTGTCATTGGCTTGATATCGCCCACATTAAGGACAGCCGTATCAGGAGTTCCAATTTTCGTGTAACTGACCATTTTGTGTTGCTGCTTAACAAGTTACAAGCTACTTAATCTATTATATTTATTGACCGAGATACATATTTTACCCTCCCTTTTGTCCCCAAAGGCAAACTCTCTGTATGTGTCTCTCGCTGTAGTCCATTTGTCTCTTGCACCACTTACCACTATCACAAATAATAGTTATTTATCACTACAGATATTTTCCAATTTCATAGTGTTTAACAATGCTATTTACGTTTAATTACTTTATAATCTGATAGTATGCATTTGTGATATCTGATTAACATATTTGTACATTTTATGTGATAGTTGACAAGGAAAGTGGATTTATTGCATTACACTTTTCATTCATATGCTTCATAGTCCAAATCATTACTTGAAGTTCAAAGTTTATAAAAATTTAAAATAATTTGAGCACAAAGTTTTTACACTTTGTAGATAGCCATTCTGTACATTGAAACGTAATCATGAAAATGTTATAAGGAATAGAGCATTTTCCAAAAGCACATTCATTACAGTTGAAACAAAATAACAAAGTATGAAATGTGAAGTCAAATTCAGCTATTTGACCAGTGGTCTAGTGTTGTCTTCTTCTTGACAACAAACTTCTCTATATTTTTTCACTTCAGCCATATAAAGCGACCAAGCATCCTTGGGCTGCTCAACAGTTTGTTCAGTCTTTGGTTTAGCAACCATTCCAGTTTTCAAAATCCTTCCTCCTCGCCTCTTTCCTACCATTAATGGTGGGGGAACAACACTTTTCTCTTCTAGAACAGAAGTCGTCGGTTTTTGTGTTGGTTGCATTTGTTCCTGCATTTTTTTGAACATTTCCATAAAACTACCATCATTTTTAAAAGCATTAGATTGTGGAGGAACAATCGGTTGCTGTACAGTTGTTTCAGTGTTATCTTCAGCTGTATCTGATTCGTATGACTGTGCTCTGTGATATCTACGGCTTTCTCTGCCTCGATGTCTATCTCTGCTCCTATTACGACTACGGCTGCGTCTTCTGTCTCTAGATCTTGACCTGCCTCTTGATCTAGATCTCGATCTATCTCTTCTAGAATATTTTCTTGATCGATCCCTGTCCCTATCTCGATCTTTGTCCCTGTCAGATGACCGAGATCGTCTGTGTGATCGACTTGGGGGAGATTTTGAACCACTGCGTCTTCTTCTACGTCTATCCTGTGGTGAATCATTTCTGGATGTTCTACAGCTTCTATAGTCCAAGGGTGATGGTGATCGACGTGATGACATTCTGTTTTTGTATCCATCGTACGTTGTATACGATGTGCTATACATAGGAGGCGAAGGTGGAGCGGGCGGTGAGTCTGTATTGGACTTGGAGCCGCGTTCATGCCGCTTTGAATCCATTGTTGCGCTTGTGTGTCTCTCTCACCAGGCTGAATGGACAGATGGACACCTACAAGGATAGAAACTGCCTTCTATAAGTACAATGCCCATTTCTTCTTACCACGCCTTTATCTGATTGGTTTTAAATGTACGCGTTTGCAAGAGACAAGCGGATTTATAGCGAGAGACCAAATTTTTTATCAGCACTCAAACGAAGAGAGTTCAATCAAAGCCTGGATTTATTTAGTTTTATGAGGATTTAGAAAAAACAATCCAAACGTATTAGATATGTTTCATTACTTATCTACATGCACAACAAAATCCAGCTTTGATTGGATGCCTAATCTATAATTATAAATATATGACTATTATCACTTAGGAATACCTTGTTCAACTACTATACTATAGCTTTATAATTTGTATTATATTCCCAATACTCATTTTTTCATAAGATATGATTCTGTATTGTTATATAATTTGTATATAAATGTACCTTCATTGATACTTATTATATTCAGTATTCGCATAATTTTAACAATGATACATTAAACTACGTTGTTCATTATAATCAATTTGAATCAACTGATAATTGAAAATATAATCCCTGTAGTCACTTTCGAAAAAGTATGTGGAACACATTGTCTGAAGGACACTGTCAATACAAAATGCGTTTATTTTATGAATATGAAAGTTTCTTGAGACTAGAGCTGTATTAAATTATGATTAAGTACATTCAATATAACGTAATACCATACAAAACTGAAACGTTGAAGAAAGGATGAATTCTTCTAATTCCTTTTAAATAATAAATTTATAATTTAGACATCAAAGAATATAGTTATTTTCTAATACACAAATTATTAATTCACAACGGGGCTGGTAGTGAAAACTATGACAAAAGGTAATTGAGGAGAAAAACACGAAATTTGATGGACAACCCTTACCCAAAATGAAATATGAACTTTAGATTTGTATCTAAATGAGCACCCATAAAAGTATAATGAAAACCTTCCTACAACTTTCTTGAAAATTTCATTGCCTAAATATTCTAAAATTACACAAAATATTTTTGCATAAAATACCTTAATCAGTCGTGCGATTGAAAACAAAATGGCCACTAGACAAACTGCACCAGATTGTTACGTCATACAATTGTGTCTAAGACAAAATTATACACTGATTCTGGAAGGACGCAGTGCCTTCTGTAAAGGACACGTCAATATGTAGTGTAAAACACGTTTCGATATTTCTCCGACAGAGGACACTGTCTTTCGGAGAAAATACTAAAAGTACTATGTAAAAATAAAATACATTATAATGTATGAAGCCTGTTTTCGTATGCACATTGTACATTTAACAGTATCAAAAGGGTACATGTATATACAATAATAATTGGCATACAAAAAGTGTATAGTAGCTATTATATAAACCCATTTTTGATATGAATTTTTTAAATATTTTCAATTTTATTCAAATTATTTGAAAATAAAGTTCAACATATATTAATTCAATAGAAAATGAAAGAATTAATAATGATGCAATTAATGACAAATTTGGGAAAATTTTTAAAAATCCAACTGTAAATTTCAAAACATGTATGTAATGTATTACGTATTGTAATCGAATCCAGATAGTGGCCATTTTATTAATCCCTATCGGCATGATAGCGCGCGTATTTGAATGTCCAAATAGCATAGAAATCCGTATGATTATAATTAACTATAAAAACACAGCCACAGCGAAATATGTATTACGACTAGATTAGATTGACATATTAGTAGAGGAACTAATAGGAAATAATGGCAATTATAGGCAAAAAAGAAATGGAAACATTTCGTTATGGGTCCTCGAAACTTGGTCCTTTTAATCGAGAGACTGCGAATAGAAATGACGAATATACGGAAGAACTTTCCTGCTTGCATGAATTTGAGGGCCTGAAAAGGACCATTATTATTAAATAGAGGAGCCTATGGAACACACAGGAGGTTGTAAATCGCTCGGCGCCCGTGGTCGAAAAGATCTAGCATGTGCCAGAGCGGTATCTGACCGTACAAATTTCGTTATAGTTATGGTATTACCCAGAGATGTGTAGCTATTTGATAAATACAAGATGGAGTCACCGACGTTTTCTATTAGGGATGAAAAAGAAACTCAATTCAAATAGAAATATTCTCCGGATTGAGAAATGCAGTGTGGGTAATTAAATTAAATAAGTTTAGGTAATTAAATATTTTATTGCATTTGTTAAATATAATTTTAGGAACTATCTTTTACTTTCTAAATGTGTAATTTACATGTTTGTAAAATATAAAAGCGAGCAATCTTTTTGTTATCAACGTATACAGAAATTACCGAAAACCTAATTATGCATCTCAAGCGTACGAACAGTTTTTGTATAACTTTTAACCACCAATTGAACTGATCATCAATGCTTCGTATAAATATATCCTCATAAAACTACTTAAAAACAAGAACAGTTAACAAATATCCGCTTTATGACTTGAATAATTGTACAATGCCGAATATGTAAATGCTTGCTTACTTGTTAGTTCCTTTCTTTGTCTAACTCTGTGAGGGCAGTACTGTTTAGCTGTGAAGCGCCAACCAATCAGAGAAAAGCAGTTTCTGCACCTACTCTCATATTTCTGAGCGTTTTGCCCCCCAACATCATTCATTGTTAGTATTCCGAGGCACTACTGTAACAGTTGTTGTCCTTCTCAACATAACGTTTACTTCCGGTGATGGTGGCGCTGTAGCGCTGGGCTTTTGCATCCATATCAATCTATATCCGGTCTTCCATTTTCTTTTGGTCATCGCGTGGCGTATGATTGCGTTCTTATTCACGCATCTTCGTTATTGATCGTTACACTTTTAAATAATTATTCAGACGTTTGAAATCATATAATTAAAAACGCTCGCTAGTCTGTACGTTATACAATATCTTCACATTTCATTTCTTTCGATCATCGTAGTCGTTTTTGGTTTATCCAGTGCTAATGCGTGGTATTTCAGAAAACTCTCCGACTCTCGCAATGGCGGAGGATTTGGATGTCGAGGCGATGCTGGAGGCACCATACAAAAAAGGGGTAAGACTTAATTCTTTCTTTTTTGCTTTTCTTTTTCTTCTTTTTTTATGTCTCGGTTTGTTCCCTCGAGGTCCTGTCTCTCTCTTTTTTTTAATCCTCTAAAGCCTACTCTAATCTCGACGCACGCAGAATCCACTTACGGTGGTGTGCTGTTCTGGATGTGTTCAGTTTTGTTGCGTTCGAGAAAGAAAAAAATATAGAAACATCCATCCTTACTTCCTGTATATACATGTAGAACAAAGTACACCCTTGTCTTTCATACCGACTATTGATCAATACCTCCGTTTTCTGTACTTATAGATGGTACGTAACATGTACCCTCGCGCTCGTAGGATGTTCGGCAGCGAGTTCCTAGAATGCACTTGAAATACGAGGTATTAAGAAAAGCCATCACTAACATCATTTTTACTTAATTCTTTTTTCTTTCTTTATTCTCATTTTTTTCTTTGAATTTTACTTTCACAGAAAGAGTAACGTTTATTATTTTCACGATGTAGATAGAATTGCTATTGTCATCTATGTATGACCATAGGGAAGGAAAAGACATGTGAAATGATGTTCTATGATCATAATAATCAAAATAATGAAAAAGGAAAAATATCATTAGGTGCTGTTCTGCCATGTGCCATGCTGTGCTTTTTATCTTTACAAAATGCATAAAGTGTGGAGAAATATGCTGAGCGATTAAATAAATATGCATTCATAGATTTATATGCTATGGTTGTAATACTTCGTGTTAAAAACACACCTTCTACATATATTTCCTGCAATGTTAGGGGAACTAATAACAATATTCTGTAGTCTTTGAAATTAAAACCTTTTTTTGTTGACTTGGTAATTTCTGATGTATAGGGATATTTCATGTGCAATGTATTTTATGCATATATGTGTTTGTAGACAATTATGTCCTAATCATGTTTTTTAGAAACAGATGTTGAAATGTTATTTAAACTTGAATAAAATAATCAGGTAGCCTTATGTCAATGAGGAAGCGTATTTAGT